ATTGGTATTGGAAGTTGGGTAATTTTCAACCAAAAAATGTAAATAACTTTTCAAATATTGATGGTAGAAATTTACAGTCTCCTGAAAAGATATGTAATTTAATATTTCTAACATCTTTGTACAACATGCCATACATGTAGAAATATTGTAGAAAAAGTTACAGATACAAAACTGATTTTAACGATGTCTCCACAAAAAACCTTTATATCTCAGAAGTTATAGGAGCTAGAAAGTTATAATTTCAGCAAAGCTGTTCAGAGTAATGTTTCCTACAGCTTTGCCGAACACAATTATTTTGTATCTTATTATATTGAAGAAATAAATTTTGCAGGTGGATTAATCTTTAATTTTCTGTTAGCATAAGAAGGAGTGTTGTAACCCGAGAAACTTCTCAGAAGACACTTAGTACCTTTAATCAACCATTTCAGCGTAAATAAAAAAGCACGTGTTTTGATACCCTTGGAACCACTGTGCAGCCGGTTCGCTTTGTTAACAAGGAGAGCAACGTGACAGAAGAGGAAAAAGGATACGATTTCAAGAAGAATGATCAATCGCTCGTTAGCGAGTCGGATGAAGATCTGGTATGCATGTCGATCACTTCTGGATTGCAGGTAAATGAACCAGTTTTTGTTGTAGCTAATATCAATGGAAAGGGTATTCAGATGGAGATCGACAGTGGATCAGCTGTCTCAGTAATAAGTGAGCAAAAATACTTCGAAAATTTTAAACGTTTGCCACTGTTGCCATGTAATAGAAAGTTATCCGTAGTAAACGGAGCTAGACTTAGCATTTTAGGCTATATTGATGTTAGTGTCGTTTTGAAAAATTTGACACATAATGTAAACTTAGTAATTTTAGAGGGACGTAACAATTTCGTACCTTTAATCCGTCGAGATTGGCTTGACGTGTTCTTCATGGGGTGGAGAACGAATTTCTTATGTCCTGTATTAGTCAATAGTTTAAAAGCCAAAGATGAACGAGAAGTGATAATTGACGAATTGAAACAAAAATTTGAAAAAGTTTTCATCAAGGATTGTTCAATCCCTATCAAAGGTTTCGAGGCGGATCTTGTTCTTAAAGTAGATCGTCCTATTTTTAAGAAATCATATACAGTGCCATTACGTATAAGGAGAAGATAATAGACCAATGGGCTTCGCCTGTTGTAGCTATTGTAAAAAAAAGATAATGACATAAGACTTGTAGTGGATTGTAAGGTGTCCATTAATAAATTGATTGTACCAAACACCTATCCACTGCCTTTAGCACAAGATATTTTCGCCACATTATCTGGGTGTACAGTCTTTTGTTCGCTCGACTTAGCAGGAGCTTATACACAGTTGGAACTTTCAGAAAGGTCAAAACGAGTTATGACAATTAACACTATAAAAGGACTTTACACGTATAATCGTCTCCCACAAGGGGCTGCGTCTTCAGCTGCCATATTCCAACAGGTTATGGATCAAGTGCTGCAAGGTTTAGAAGGTGTCTCATGTTATCTGGACGACGTTTTAATAGCTGGAAACAGTCTGTTAGATTGTAAAAATAAGCTTTTTTTGGTGTTTGAGAGATTGCAAGAGGCGAATATTAAAATTAAATTGAGTAAATGTCAATTTTTTGTTGACCAGCTTCCATTTTTAGGTCATGTTATTACTGATAAGGGTTTGTTGCCTAATCCGGACAAGATTGACACCATTTCTAAAGCAAACCCACCAAAAAATCAAACAAAGCTAAAGGCTTTCCTAGGTCTCATAAATTTTTATGGAAAATTTGTACCTATCTTGTCATCAAAACTGAGCTGCTTTTACAATCTTTTAAAAAAAGATACAAAGTTCATTTGGAGTAATCAATGTAACGAGGAGTTTGAAAAATATTTAGAAGCCCTTGCTGTTGTAAGTTGTGTAAAAATTTCACAAATATTTGTATGGCCAACATTTCATAATTTACACTGACCACAATCCTTGGTGTGTTTGGAAAAGAGGGTAAACATTCAATTTTCGTCACTCGTCTACAACGATTCATAATGGAATTGTCAATTTACAGCTTTGAAATTAAATATCGACCTTCTCGTAGGATGGGAAACGCGGATTTCTGCTCTCGTTTCCCTATCTCATGTCCAGTACCTAGAAACCTTGATAAGGATTGTATTAATAGCTTAAATTTCACTACTGAACTACCCATGGGTTTCAAAATTATCGCTGAAGAAACTAAAAAGGATGTTTTACTGGTACAAATCATAGAGTACATCCAAAGTGGTTGGCCAGATCGAGTCGAGAAAGCTTTGAGAAACGTTAAAGCACAATCGCATGACCTTGAATTGTCCTCTGGATGTCTTTTATTTCAAAACAGAGTAGTTGTGCCGAAATCATTACAAGAGAAGACCCTGAAGTTGTTGCACTCAAACCACGATGGTATCGCAAAAATTAAACAGCTCACTCGCAGAACAGTGTTCTGGTTTGGCATAAATGCTGATATTGAGCAACTTGTCAAAAGCTGTGGTGCTTGTAATCAATCGTTAGTTACACCAAAGAAGAAAGTGGATTCTTCTTGGACGCCCACTAATCGACCATTCAGTAGAGTGCATGCTGACTTCTTTTATTTCGGGGAAAAGATATTTTTACTTGTCGTAGACAGCTACTAAAAATGGATAGAATTAGACTACATGCGTTATGGTACGGACACAAAAAAGGTCATCAAAAAGTTTCTGAATATTTTCGCTCGATTTGGATTGCCTGACGTCCTTGTAACTGATGGAGGACCACCATTTAATGCGTTGGAATTCGTTGATTTTATGAAAAGGCAAGGTATAATAGTTCTCAAGAGTCCACCATATCACCCTGCCAGTAATGGGCAGGCGGAAAGAACAGTACGCACAGTCAAAGAAGTTTTCAAAACATTCTTGCTAGATTCACAAAGAAAGTTTCAAGATGTGGAAGAACAACTATGTTATTTCCTTTTGAATTATAGGAACAGTTGTCTTACTAAGACTGGTAGATTCCCTTCGGAACATCTGTTTTCATACAAACCCAAAACTCTTTTCGATCTAATGAATCCCACGAATCATTATAAAAATAACCTGGTTCCCCATCATCAGGATTCGGTCAAGGCAAGGAATCCTAAGTTAGATCGGGTTGTTTCTCAAGTCGATAATTTTAGTCACTTGATGCCAGGCGATAAATTATGGTATCGGAATCATCGTCCTAAAAATGCTAAACGATGGTTAGACGCTACGTTTGTGAAAAGAATATCACTAAACGTTTTCCAAATTTCTATAAATGGACACATTACATCGGCACACCGAGATCAGTTACGTTTGAATGAAATCAAACGTTTAACAAGGAACTCGATTGTAAAACTAAGCAATAAAAGACTTCGCGAAGATGATGAAGAACCTGAATTCTACGGATTTCTAGAAGAAGAAACCTTTCCCAACCGTTCTACTGTTAGAACGGATAACGATGATTCTCATTGTTTGATTACAGGAACTAGAAGGTCCGAGCGTTTGAGGAATCAATGCCAGCGAAATGCTTTCAAGCAAGATGTTTCGACGAAGATGCCAGCGAAGAAAAGAAAAAGTGACTAAGCATTACGTGCTATCGAATTATCATAATTGAATTTTAAATGTGTAACTGAATAAGTAATCAATTAATGCATGAATTAGTAATTATATAGATTCATTGAAGAATCTTGTCAAAGGATGGAGAACTGTAGTGTACCGGTTCGCTCTTTATAGCAAAGCTCAGAGCTATGAGTAAAAGAGAACATTCTCATTCTCTATAGAGATGTATACCCTCATATCTGAAATAAAGTAGTCTTACTTCTGATGCTACCTAAACCTGACGTGTTTTAATATAAGAAAGAGTCTCTACTATAGACATAATAGGATGCTGCATTGTATTTTAAAGTTTAGTCTTTTTTAATTTCTTTCGACTGTTGAGACATCTCTGCCTGGTGGGGGCCCTCCCGGTTCCACCGGTGTGGAGCTCTGTCTTATTCAGATTTTAATTTTGTGTCTTTAATATGTTGTGTAAATGTACGTTCGAGCCAGGAACCAATTTTCGGTTGAGGTAAACACTGTAAAAACTTCTCTATTGGGGGTCCTCCTTCTGAGGCCCCACCTTTCATGGACGATATGAACTAGCCTACGGCTAAAAATCTCAAAAATAAAGTCTATAAAAAATAGTATAGCCGTGGTTAACAAAAGAGAAAGTCGATTTCTCTTTTGTTAATCACGGCTATACTTTTTTTTTATAGACTTTATTTTTGAGATTTTTTAGTCGTAGGCTAGTTCATGTTCATCGATAACTGTAATATTGATTTTTTTTTACACTGCCAGCTCGCCCACGTAAACTAGCTTCATCTTGGGCGAGATAGTAGTTTCGACCAATTGGGCTCTTTAATTTTGAAAAATGTATCGATTTTTATTCATCATTTAAAAGAGCTTCGTTTTCTGAGCACAGCGATATTTTTTTCGTACCCACACACTTTCATCTTGATTTTTAAATCAAGATTGAAAACAAAATAATAACTTCACTGTTTGACACTAAACTAACAAACTGACAGCTCGCGCCCATATAAAATGACACCGAGGAGCTCTAATAAGGTGATTTTCACAAATGTAATCGTATTTATTTAAAATAGTTCCAGTGTACCAAAATTGATGAAATTTTGGGTTTAGGTTCCACTTTTAATGCAGATTACGAATATGCATTTACCTCAATACTCTTAAAAATCCCAATTGATGTTTGAAGTCATTGCTTACAAAAGTCTTACGTCGACTATTGATTATTTTTTTTCCGAAAATTGCAGATTATATTATAGATTATAATTACCGAACTGTCGAGATTAAAAAAAATCCTAATTCAGCAATAAAGTCCATGTGTGGATGTTTTAAATTTAAGGGTATGTAATTGTTTTCTCTGATTGTTTTGATTGATGAACAGAAGTAAATAAATAAATCATATGAATAATATATTGAATTTTCAGGACCATTACGTAAAAACTTGTGTTTGAATACTGCTCGTTATGCCATGTTAATTTAATTTCATCCTATCTGTTTATAATACATTGTAATAGATAATCTTAAGTGTAGTTTGCTATCATTAAAATTTATCAAATATTTACAGAGATAATAAAGATTACTATTATATTGCCTTAAGGCATGACTAATGACAATTGCTAGTATTATTTATATTAGTTTCATGTTTTTATTATTCTTGTAGACTAGATATATTTGCATTGTGTCAAGACTTTAGTTGATCAGTGTCTATTCGCCTATCTGTGGCAAATTCGAGAAGTTTGTTAAATTCTGCCTCTAGTGTTTGCCTTGCCTGTAAAATAAAACGAAGGGATTAAAAAATCATCTCATTGTTATTTTGTTAAATACATTACCTGAGTGTTTTGTGTTGGAATTTGAAGGGCTAATGCTAATGAATTAGCATCAAAACCTTCATCCAGCGCAACGAGCGCTCCATGTACACCAGACTCTAACAAGTTATTTCCATATTCCTGAAATAATAATTTAAACCACATTTGAATTTTTCATTTCAATAGTAAGTCGAATAAACAAATATAATAAATTCCAGTGATATACAAAATTCTAATAAGTCAATTAATTTGTAAGTGCTATTGCAGACAGCAGAACCAGGGACCTCATTATGGAACTTGATCAAAGTGAATTGCTTACTGCGTATTGTCATAAGAGTTGAAATCTGGAAAAACCCACTAGCGAAATCAATTTTACTCTCGTTCTATACGTTATACATAGTGCTTGTACATTATAGCGCATCATTGTGCGGTTGCAGCGCGCTCCTACCGACACTATGTATAACGTATTATAGAACGAGAGTAAAAACGGTTTTCGGTAGTGTGTACGAGTAGAGTTGTACGACAATACATAATATGACACCTCTCCGCGTCGATGAAGTACACTCAACCTAAGGGTTTATGGTCGATACGAAACAAAACAGAATTTTTCATCAATTATATTCCGCAAAATGCGCGTAACAAAATTCTAAATTTTTACAACACGAAAGTGGAACTAAACGGAAATGTTGTAATATTCCGCGGAATTTTTCATTTTGTTTTTTTTTTTATTATAGAAAAATTATACAAATAAATACATACTGAAACAATCAAGCAGAAGTTTAAAAAAAAAAATCAAGAAAAAGTTAGGGAAGGATTATATTCTAAACCCCGATCAGTGAGAGTCTTTTCTGATGTTTCATTCTAAAAGTTAAAAAAAATCCATCTCTCACCAGAAATTATATTTCATATAAAGCACTTTCACCCAAAATATCCATTTGCTTTCATATTTTACCAGTAATCTAACTTTTTGTATTTTGTTTCAATTAAACATTAACCCTTCGAGCACCTCACTGAAACGAACTCGACACTCCTTTCAAAATGATTTATCTAGGAATCTATTTATCTTTTTATTAATGTTTTTATACCGTTGAAAATGTTATTTCCTATACTAAAGGTGGCTCCAGGCGTCAAACAAAGGGGAGCAAAATCCTAATGGAAGTGATCCGTTGGTTTATAAAAAATGATCAAATTTTTACTTGGTTTGGAGGATCACAACTTCTTTCAAATATCATGTTTTTGTTAGAATCCTTAAATATTTCGATAATAAAATAATATAAGTGTTTCGATGTCTCCGATATTTGATTTATATTAAAATGTTAAATCGTCCAGCATTTTGAATATTTTTGTAAATTTTGAAATTCGAATTCATGTTCCAGAAACTCTTCTAAGTATGAAAAGTTAAGAATAACCGATGACTCGGAATCTTATTTATTTTCTGCATCAGACTGCATATGCCTCAAACGATTAATTCTTGGTTGTTAATAGAACTTCCTTGATGAAATCGGCTACTTCATGCAGACTGAGCAATTCTGATTATAGTATCAGATTTGTTCTGTATACAGAGGAACTGGGAGGGCTTATTAGAAACTTCTCACCAATAAAGTAATGATCTTCTAGTAAATTTTGCATATAATTTTACTAATATTTTATTATTTTTGTTAAAGTCAATTTGCATTACCATACGATACAAGAGATTTAATATTACTTGCTCGTTTTTGCGTAAAATAATCAATATTTATTTTACTTGTAATTACCTTTGAAAGTTTTGTTCAAGTTTTTTTTTGTGGTCTGAAAATTTTTCCAGTTTGGTTAGAAGTTTTGAAGTTAACGCATGTCTACAGGCCTAATAGAAAGATAAGCAGAAAAAGTGTATCATGAAGAATGGTTGCATGCAGGGTTGCTTCCACTCACTTACTATAGATGAGTGATGTTCGGAGTTTTGAATTCGTTAGATGTTGTAATGGAGATTTGTGTTGTTGGATGCGGGAGGAGATTGAAGGACGGGTGTTTGACGCATAGAGCCTGTCAATTTCGCTTTCAGAGTGTCGCAGTCAGCGGTTTTATGATTCGTTAGCTCTCGCGATTCGTAGAATTGTTGATTGTGACTGCAAGTGGATTTGGCAAGTGTCGGACACTTGCTTTTTGGCCTCTTCTTGTGTCTAACATGTGCAGAGTATCATTAGGGGCTGTTCATAAACCACGTAGACAGTGTAGGGGGGGGAGGAGGGGGGTTGGCTATTATCCACGGCCAATACAAATTTTAAATTTTTTGTATGGACAATTGTTTACGCAAGGGGAGGGGGGGGTCAAAATTCCCAAAAAACTGTCTACGTAGTTAATGAACAGCCCCTTATAGCGTCTAATGGTTTTGAGATTCCTGGTTGCGTGAAATATATTTGTGAGAATATCTTTTTGAGATTTTAGTAGTCACGTTTTGTTTGTAGTTGATATTTTATTTCTTTCATGTAATTATCGTAAATAATAGTTATTCAATAATAGATAGTTCATCCATATATTCGTACTTTGACGCGAAGCGCTGTGGATTATGAGATGCTCGATGACCCTGGAGGGATCGATTTTGCTTACTGAGCAGAAAATTGTGGATTTAACCCCAAGCTCTTCCACAGCACAATAAATCGCCACCATCATTTGTATATTTGATTTTGAACATTAACCTCGGAAGCTATTTGCTTATCAAGCGAAAACGTAGTCTTGTATTGTCGGGAAGCGTTATGGTTCTGAGATGCTCGATGACCCTGGAGGGATCGTTTTTGCTTACTGAGCAGAAAATCATGGGTTTAATCCCAAGCTCTCCGCCATGACTCTTAAAATTCATGATCACTAAACAAAATGAATATGTTCTTTCGATAGCCGGCTATCGAGAGATTTAAAAAAAAACAACAAATAAACAATACATACTTTCGGTTGCATCGCCAACTTGAGGTGAATCCTAACCGAATACCCTACCCAACCCTCCAACTCCGTAGCACTTATGAGGGTGTCGCTAAGTCGGCGGCCTCTCGTTAAGTAAGTACTACATAAACATTTCCTTCCCTATCCCTAGTTATGGTAAAGATGGGCGTGGCCGGGAATAGCGACAGTCATGCTTCTGTTACTCTTGTTTAGATTGGAACCAATGTTTACTCCCCAGCATTATTCCTGAAAGTAGTCTAACTGGGAATTTCAGAAGAGACATGAGTGTCGCTAGTATCCAATCTACGAAGTATATCATAACAACGCTAACGCTAACGTGATTCTGGAAATTTGTCAACTACATTGGACCCCTGCACTGAATTTATTTTGATTTATTTTATGAATTTTCGTACAATCAACTATGAAGTCTAACTGAAGACTATCTATCACTCTGATATTCCATTCATATTCATCACAATACTGTATGAATTCTATAAAGGTTACTTCTGAAATCGATAATTGATTAAAAGAAAAGAAACTTCTCTACTGTATTTTCGTTTGAGTTGCCTTGACATTTTTCTAAGAATTGCATAGGAATACTCCACGAAATTAGTTTTTAAACTCTCCTACGAACTCTCCTCAGAATTAATATTATTGAATGCTCTTCAGAATTGCCCTGGAATTTTACTCAGAACTATCTTGAAATTCACATTGGATTTCACTGAAGTTCTACGTACTTTTAGGAATGTATATATCATGTCAGAGGATAGAGATTAAAAAAAAGAACATGGAAAGTCCCTGAGTCCCTTCTTCTTTATAGATACAGCATATCATCGAAGAGGTATCAATTTTTAATAATGCGTTTTTAGACATGTCAGATAAAACGTAGTTTTGGGAATTAATACATCACTTTGGAGCCTTTTGGGTATTTATAAACTTTCAAAAGATATAGTTTCACTGAGATATATCCATAATAAAAATAGGGGATCAAGTGTGTCCACTCTCCCCACAGGTTGAGGTTCGCACTGACAAAACTACAAGGGACAGCCGTATGGGATTGTACGCAATGGTGACGTAGGACTACGTGGTCTTATATAATAAATCTTATTTGTTAACTGTAGCAGGAGCTTGTGTTTTGTGTAGGATTAGCAATTTGAGCGGGGTTCTCTCTGTTTATACTCTTTAGTATGACGGGCTTGACATAGATGTCCCACAGCGACTCACGAAGAGCTACTGATTCCGATCAATAGCTGTCCGGCTTCTTCCTCCTTCTATGGATGGTCATGTGGGCAGCAGCTCGCTGCTTTCAGGTAGCTTTTCGTTGTGTACTGGAGAACACCACCACTCACCACGCGGTGATTGAATAAAAACCGTTTGGTGAGACCGGATGGTATTCAACTTTGAAATCTGTGTTAGGGAAATCGCTTTTCGAAGGCAATCAGTGATAATTTTAATTATCAAAGCAACAGTTGCACATTCGTGCAATTTTCAATAGTGACATTTTAAAAATGAGAAAGTCTTGAATTTAACAGATATGTAGAAATATATCTGATCGATTGATGATAAAATTATTGAAATTGGTCCAGGGGAAGCTGAGTTATTACGTTCAAAATCTTTCATAATTTTGTTACATGTTCCATTTTCATTTTTCACAAAATGTACCCACATATAGCAATCACAGACGTAGTTCGGTTTCACACAGATATAAAAAATCGCTTTGAGTAAACTCAGTTTTAAACGAACACTACCGTGTAAAATTTCCGTTAGTGAAAATGGAGAGCAATACTTTTCTACTCAGTCACTAAGTTGAATTTTAATACACTGTACCTACCCGAGCAAAGTCCAGCATCAAAATGACAGCAAATTGAAATCAAGTTTTGATATCAACATCCAACTGAAATCATAATTTGATTTCAGTTTACACATTGACAAATTTGATACCAAATTTTGTTTTCATTTTGCGTATACATTTGCTCTTTAAAAATATTTTGTTACGGGTTTGTTTTCATTGCCTTAGCATAACATCAAATTGAATACTTGTTTTGTTATCAACAGGAAAAATTGATATCAAATTGAGTTTTCAGTTGGCTCTCAATTTTCGATTGCTCTGTGTGATGGCAAACAGTGTAGTTCAATTTGTTGTGCAGTGAAAAAAATATTTTTAATTACGTGTGAAATTGTGTTGTGTGCCGCGATTGATTAATTGCAACGCGTGCCCAATTGTATTT